AAGACCTTTCTGTCTGTCTCTCTCTCACTGTCCACTCTGCCTGTCATAAATAAATAAATAAATAAATAAATAAATAAATAAATAAAAGGAAGAAGTGAATATATTGTAGTAGGCCATTAGAATGCAACTCTTGTGATTAAGTTTAAAAGGAGAGTGACAGAGACCAGATACATACATACATACACACACACACACACACACACACACACCCTACCTTTTGCCATGTGATACTCTGTGTCACCTTGGGACTCTGCCAGCGAGGACACCTTCATCACAGGCAGAACCCCTGGGACCTGCCCAATTTTGACTGCCAGTATCCAGAACTGTTTCTGTCTTTAACTGGAATACACAGTCACACAAACAGTTTTTGTTTGTTTGTTTGTTTTGCAAAGCAGCTTGAATTTCATTATAAGAATGAGAAGCTCACTGATGCAGCATCTCTTTCTTTAGTAATCCCACCTCCCTCGACTCTGAACTCCTCTGCCGCAGCTCTTCCACTTGTAAAACCCAGGGTGATCCAGGATCATCTTTCTCTTTTCTTCAAGTCTGTTGATTGGCAGCCTTAATTCCATTTACAATTCCTCTTTGCCACTTTATGTAACATGGCCATTTTCCAGGGATTAGTATAACTGCATTTTGGAGGATCCTTATTCTGCCTACATGAAAATTAAGGCTAACTTCACCAGCAATACCAAAACATGGGTAGTTATCACTTGCATACTGAATTTCTTCTGAAATTTCAGTATACCACTACAGTCCAGCAAATGTAAGATTTTTTAAAAATTTGAATCTATGACACAATTTTAATAAGGCATTGATTCAAAACTGAATATCAGTATCTGAAACTTTAAAAATTATATAATTGGGGCCGGTGCTGTGGAGCAGTGGGCAAATCCGCCGCCTGCAGTGCCTGTATCCCATATGGATGCCAGTTCAAGTCCCGGCTGCTCCATTTCCGATCCAGCTATCCTCTGCTATGGCCTGGAAAGAAGTAGAAGATGGCCCAAGTCCTTGGGCCCCTGCACCCGCGTGGGAGACCCAGAGGAAGTTCCTGGCTCCTGGCTTCAGATCAGCTGAGCTCTGGCTGTTGTGGGCAACTGGGGAGTGAACCAGCAGATGGAAGACCTCTCTCTTTCTCTCTCTGCCTCTCCTCTCTCTCTCTGTAAATGACTTTCAAATAAAATAAATAAATTTTTCAAAAATTATATAACTGAGTCAGTGACAAAAAGTAGTTTTCCCTTTTACCCTCTCAGTAGCTTTTCTAATATGAGCTTAATAAGAAAATACAACTTATCAACTGAGGTGCTTATTTGTAATACTCTATAACACTGCCACAGCCCAATTCACTGAAAATGCACATACTTTTGGACTTGTGAAATCAGCAAAATATCCCACTGTTTGAAAATTACAATACTGGTAAATAAAAGGTATTTTTTCTGAGTTAATATTCACCACCCACAATTTTATCCTAGAATTTCACTCAAAGGTGTTTTTTTCTTTTTTACAGTCAGTGTTCTGGTTGTACTTTTATCTATTATATAAAGCATCATGTTATAGGGAAAAGCAGAGTCTCTTCATACTCAGAATATCAGAGGTAGAGATCAGCACCACCACTTGGTAATGCTGATGACAGGCAAACCTGCAACCTGTCTGGGTGGGAGTCAGAGAGCAAGAGGGAGCAATGGCGGGTGCCGTGTCTGAGCCCCTGTGACAACCAGCTGCCTTGTAAGTGTCACCGTTTTACCACATCCTGTGAAACAGCCAACAACACAACCTCTATTTTAAAGGGATGAAATCCAAGCTTTCAAGACATTAAACAGCATGTCCACATTACACAGATAATAAATAACAGAGTCTGATAAACCTAGATGTCCGATTTTAAAATCCATGATCTGTTGGTTCTGTTACAGAACCAATGTCTGTGAAAGAACTGTTTGCATTAGAATCCAAAGCATGAATCATACCATTGTTTTTATGGGAGAGGCATTTCTTCCATTTACAAGACGAGTTACTCATGGAATCTTACAAATTTTAATTTCTGTCCTTTCTGTCCCCTCTCAAGATGCCTAGAGAGTTACCAGATTAAAGTTATCTCAAGCCCACATTATCCAAACTTTCCTTCCTTCTTCCTCTTTGAGTATTTTCATGACAATATGCAAACTGAAATGGGCTGACTTCACATCACTTACAGACAAACGAGGAAAGAAGTATATACTGACAAGAACAACAGCCGACAAAAAATACGACATTGGCATTATGTGGGGAGATTTAAAAATGTGTATAAATAACTGCTATATCAGTATGAACTCTAAATGTCTTTTGTTTCATTACAATAGAGACAACTACAAAGAATATTGATAAGCTTTATAGGGTTGCTTAATTTTTTAAGTGTCAGAGAGTACTTCATCAGATTTCTCTTAATAACAGAGGTTATTAATGCTGCCTCATAGCCTTCTGTTCTTTTTATTTCATCTTATTTTATTTTATTTGAAAGGCAGGGTGATAGAGAGAGAAAGACAGACAGAGTCAGAGACAGAGAGATCTTCCATCTGCTGGCTCACCCCCCTCTGTGTTCTGCAGGGTAAGAGCACAGATTCATCCCCAGGCTGGCTTCCCTTATGACTACAGTGCTGCGGGTTGCCTTCCTCCTTATTTCTCTCGATGGGAACATTCTGAAAAGGTTCTCGTCATCAAAACATCCCTTTCTGCAGCCAAATGAGGCAAACATGAGGGACAGGTCACACGTCCCAACCAGGGGATGCCATATACAGACTGGCTTAGGCCCAAGCTGCTGAGATGGTCCCGTGAGGCGGCCAACGATGTCCCTCCCTAAGGGGTGTTGCTTTCCTAACGAAGCACTGCAACCATACTCTGGTGGCAGACTCAAGGATGATGGGGTGGCAACCACAAGTCTACTTCTCACAGCTGTTCTGTTTTAAGATTTATTTATTTATTTGAAAGGATTACACACAGAGAGAAGGAAAGGTAGAGAGAGAGAGAAGTCTTCCATCTGCTGGTTCACTCCCCAATTGGCCTCAACGGCCGGAGCTGCGCTGATCTGAGGCCAGGAGCCAGGAGCTTCTTCCAGGTCTTCCACACGAATGTACGGGCCCAAGGACTTGGGTCATCTTTTACTGCTTTCCCAGGCCATAGCAGAGAGCTGGATCAGAGGTAGAGCAGCCTGGACTAGAACCTGTGTCCATAAGGGATGCTGGCACTGCAGGCGGCTGCATTACCTACTACGCCACAGTGCTGGCCCCTCACAACTGTTCTTACAAATCTTGTTGGAGTATGGAATCCTAGACAGAGGCATGGTTGGTGTGACAAGAAGAGTTGTGTGGGATTTGCGGGGAAGCGTCTACTGTGACTTGGTTGTTACCAGTTTTCATGATGAAACATTTCTGATTTTTACTCTACATAAGACCACACAGGAAAAGAGCTTTCCCTGTATCTGAGCAAAGAAAAAGAACATCCATGAGGAACAGAAGGGGTAACTAGCCTCAGGTATGCCAGAAGTGACCACGAGAACTCAAGCACTCAGAAAAACACACACAGAGATTTCAAAAAGCCACGGAGTTTTTCCATACCCTAAGATATAGAACTGCTGTTTACCAACAGCCTAATGGATATGATGAATAGAAACAAGAACTGGTTAAATCACTCTCCCGGATCCAACACACTGAAGTACTTCATGATTCAGAGGTGTTCTAAACCATACAATAAGTTTCATAAATCACATATATCACAAATATGTATGATATTTTCAATGAGCCTATTTAGCAAGATACAAAAATATGCCTGCTTACATGATATAGAGAGGCAGTATGTGTGGATAATTTGGAAGCCACGGCCTGTGCTCAAACAACACAATAATCTAATCTGTCTCTACTAAAGTTTGGAAGGACTGGTGGCCAACCTAGCTGCTTAAGAGGAGGAAAGATAATGATTTTGAGGCACGTTTTATTGGTAGTCAAAAGCTCCTGTGGTTAAGGTGACTGCAACAATACATCAAGTTTTAGTGTCTGGAAATTTGAGCACGAAAAGGGGACGAAAACTTGCAGAGGCCCCTGAGTTACCTCTAGGGAGGTCCTCCCTAAATCAATTCAACTTTTCTTTACATGTGTAAAGAATGCATGCTGATCGTCACTTCTGTGCCAAATATTCACTGGATTCCACCAACATCTGCTTTCTACCACTATGATGATTTCCCACTTATTAGCTAAGATTTTGAATATATGAGGAGACTGATGAGAACTTGAGTTAAAGGAACTAGATAAAATTGTCTTAAATACACGCAACTCTTTGGTATATTTCTATCCTTTGTATTTATTGTTCATCTTATAATGAATAAATCACATAAATGGATGGTTCAGTTAAAATATTTATTATCCTATATAAATTAACCCTAAATGATATGCCAAAATCAGATTACCACTCTTAACCATACTTTACCAGTAACAGCTTTTTACATAGAGCTATGTTACTTAAAATTTGGTATATCTGGATGGGTAAAATTATATTAATTTGAATGCATTTATTTTAACATTGTCTTGAAATTAGAAGAACTGTAGCTTCATGAAGTCTAATGGCTATGGTTTAAGAATTTTGGATGATAATGCAAAACATGGAAAATTCACTAGTTTATGTACAAGGAAGCCTCACAAGACAGGTAATTAAATAGACTCTCTTTTGACACAATCTGCAAAGAACTTTAAGCATTTATAATGAACACATTCTTGTATCTCTGGAAAAATAATAAAAAACTGATAATAGTATTAAAGCAGTTTTAAAATTATCTCAAATATATGGCTTTAACATGACTTTTAGCTTATTTATTAATAACTGAGATGTTGACAAAGAATATCTAGAAAATAGGTATCACTGATATTCTAAAATTATTCCTTGAAGCCAGTACACTCAAACAACATTTTGTGTTTAAATGAGAAATGTGTACAGATCTCTAAAACTCCCAAAGTGTGGACATTTTTAATTACACTCACCAACAGTATCACATGGTTCATCTTTGTGGACACAGAAATCTTTCCTGGAGAGAAAAACAGAAAATCAGAAAAAAGATAAATCCTCGGGCATAAACAACAGATATCAAGTGATTCATTCTGATAGTTACATACTTAGGTCAGCTATACCATTCATCTCCAAAGATTTAATAAAACTAAGAATAAGATCAACTATTTTTAAGATAATTGACAATTAAATTTTATAATACATTTATATCTAATATAATCTGGAGAAACTGTTGTCCCATTTCATAAACAATGTTTCAGAACTAAAAGATGAGACTCCTAGAGTTTCTCTCTTCACATCCTCCCCGATGCCTGCCTGCCTCTTCAAATCCTCCTGATTCTTCTCCATCTCCCAAACAAGCACTTTGGGTGCTCAACTGCAGTAAAGTTGGTCTCTGCCACTCAAAACCAGTGATACAAGTAAAACTCTCTCTGGTGCCACAACATATCCAAGGTTTCAATGTAACATAGATAAAGAGTAGTGCAAAGGATGGCGCTGTGGTGCAGCAGGTTAAGGTCCTGACTTCCAGCTCCGGCATCCCGAGTGGGCACCCGTTCGAGTCCTGGCTTATCCACTTCTGATCTAGCTCTCTGCTATGGCCTGGAAAAACAGCAGAGGATTCCCCAAGTCCTTGGGCTCCTGTACCCATGTTTGAGACCCAGAAGAGGCTCCTGGCTCCTGGCTTCAGATCAGATTGGCTCAACTCCAGCCATTCCAGCCATTTAGGGAGAGAGCCAGTGGATGGAAGACCTCTCTCTGTCTCTACTTCTCCCTGTAACTCTGTCTTTTAAATACATAAAATAAATCTTTTTTTTTTTTTTTTAAAGTAGTGGAAAGGTTTTCTGGCTGATTTTTTGAAAACAGTTAACAAAATACACTGAGCCATTTCTCGGCAGCATAAGCCACGGAGAGCTGACTTTTCGTAGGGACACCATGCCTGGGTACAAGGTTGTGCAACACCGCATTCTAGGGCTATGTGTGCAACAACATGAATGGCTTCCTCCGTCATTGCACAGAGCACAGCCTATGCACCTGGACTTGGGGCCACATTCACTGCTAAGCACTGGGTTAGGGGAACGGAACAGCTAAAGGAAACAGGCTCCCCTGAAGGCTCAGCGAGGATAACACACAAACACCGCTGTTGTGTGATAGGGGCCCTAGGACTTGTGAGAAAGCAGCCAGGGAAGCAGATTAAAGGATGGATAGCTCTCCTTCTCTTGTCTTTCTTTCTTTTTTTTTTTTTTCAATTATCTTTGCCAGAAAACAAATGGAGACAAAAATACCCAAAACAGATGATACTGAATAATATGGTAATGAAGCAAATCAAAGAACCACATAAAATCAAATCTTCACCACAGGGCCAAGAATCACCGAGTGTAAAGTGTACTCAGATGTAGAGAGAAAGGGATTTTATGTGATTTTTCTAAATATATAAAACATCATATCATGATGCATGAGGCCGCAACATGACTATTTGATTTACATAATGTGAAACAAGGGACTTCATCCGTAACCAAACATGATAAAACTATGACAAATGCACTGCTCATTGTCAAGGGCATTCAGAGTCCTTCACACAGCCCATTTCTGCTCACTTAGCAAACACATGAATAAAGTACATTATGTTCAAGGAAACACAAGATCTTTTACCCAAAAGCACTCAAAGTGTCTCTCACTAACATTAAAAAACAAATGGCCAGCAGCATTTACAAACTTCATAAAAGACATATTTCTAATTACAAAAAATTCAAAGATTTGTGTATGTGAGTAGCTGATAGAGATCTATTGATTGATTGATTGATTTTTGCTGCCTAGTCGTGTGATCATGTGGATTCAAGCTCTCATTCTTGGCTCATGCTGACTCAGTGCTCACAGAGTTTCATTATGTGAGTTTATGGAAATGATACTGTTAGACCTTGGCAAGTGGGAAGGCCAATAAATTCTGCTTAAGTTCTGATTTATATTGAAAAAAGGAAATGTAGACTTTAATTTCCAGGAATGAAGATGCATCAGAGAGTAAGCCTCACTGTAGAATTTTATAGTGCCCTGGGATATACCTATAAATGATTCACTCAAAAATTATTCTGTGATTTGTATTAAATCAAGATATTTCTGCCATTTCTATATTTTATTAAATTTTCTATTTTACTTGCCAATGGCATTCGTTTGAAGCTAGCTTTCAAAATTATTGTACATAAATCAAAAGCAGTTCAGTAATATTTAAAGGCAAACACTCTCATTAAAGTTAAAGAGTATTTTCAAGGGACATAGACTGATGCCTTCTCCATGATTTCAGAAATATGAAAATTGCACTAAGAAATCACAGAACCGACAGTTGGGAAAACATGTTTTGTGTTTTTGTTACTATGAGCCTAAAAGCACTAGGTCAGCTTTAAACTATTTACTTCATTGTACTGCACAGAACAATTTGACAAATATATTACCTCAGATACACTTGGATTTATTAGAACATTACCCATTTTAGAGGAGACTAAAATTAATCCCTGAGCCAAAATTTCCCCTTAGTAACATCCTCACTTAGCATCCAACATTTAATTATTATCTAAGATGAGCATTCAGCAGAAACTGAATATAATCATAAGTAAATTGGATAAGAAATTTGGATAAGAACATGAACTACATGGAAGTTAATCTCTGTCTTATTTTCCTTTTCACGGTTTCCTAAAAAAGCTAAAGATCTGAGCATTATTACATTTTTCTTCCAATGACACAATGCATTCATTCAGACTTCCCTAATCAAATGGTACCAGGTCACATGGGAATAAAACCTCCCCTGAGGGTGCTGAAATTCACTGCTATGGCCATAGATGCATGGATATGGAGAATGGATGATCCTCTATATAAAGCTTGCCAAACAGGCAAAACAAAGTACTTTGTCAGTCCCAATGAGTACTTTATATATGGCTACCCTTTGATAATAAAAGTGCTTGTTGCTTTACCCTAAATACATACCAAAACCTGTCCACAACATTATATAAAGATATTCATAGGATACTTCCCTTTAAGAGCACAGGGAGTTCAATGGAGAGGCAAATAAATGAGAATAATTTTATGTGATATATACTATATCTATACTCTTCCCTCCAGAAATGAGTATTTTGGTTTCCTATTGCTGTTCTAACAAATGACAACAAACTCGGAGGCTTAAAACAGCACAGATGTGTTATCCTGCGGTTCTAAAGGTCAGTAGCTACACGTGGGTCTGACTAGGCCAGCATCGAAGCGCATCAGGGCTGCATTCCTTGCAGAGGTCCTCGGCCGTGAGCCGTCTTCTGGTATCTTGACACTGCCTCTAGTCTTTGGCTTGCAGCCCCTTCCTCCGCCTGTGAAGCCAGCGGTGGAGCCTCTTCCAGCTCCTCTGACTCGGAACCTCTGTCTTTCCCTGCCATGTTTCAGGACTCCGGTCCTTCCATTGGATTCTCTCAGGTAATTCAGAACAACAGCACGTCCTTTCTCAAGATTCATAATTTTATCATATCTGCAAAGTCTCTCCTTCCATGGAAGGTGGTGTATTATAGTTCTGGGGGCAGAATGTGAATCTCTCTGGGAGGACATTATACTGCCTCCCACAGAGAGTGACACAAAAAGACCTAGAATACAAACTGTAAATCGACAACAATATTCATGACTCTATCTTATGGCAGCAAGTCATTAAAAATTATTTTAGATATTATCAAGCAAACTGAGATTTTTTTAGTCTTATTGAAAAAAAAAATCCAATGGGCATATGTTGAGGCCTACATGTGGGATGCCTACCACCCATATCAGAGTGTCTTGGATGGAGTCTCACCTCCACTTCTTTTTATTTTTTTTTTTAAGATTTATTTATTTGAAAGGCAGAGTTAGAGTGACAGAGACAGAGGCAGAAAGAGCAGTCTTCCATTCGCTGATTCACTCCACAAACAGCTGCAATGGCCAGAGCTGGGCAGATGTGAAACCGGGAGCCAAGAGCTTCCTCCAGGTCTCCCACATGGGTGCATGGGGCCCAAGGGCCTGGGCCATCTTCTACTGCTTTCCCAGGCCAATAGCAGGGAGCTGCCATCAAAAGTGGAAGAGCCAGGACTTAAAGCAGCACCTACATGGGATGCCTGTACTGCATGGGGCGGCTTTACCCATTCAAGCCACAGAGCTGGCTCCACCGCTCCAATTCTAATCCACCTCCTTACTAATGTGCCTGGGAGGCAGCAGGTGATGACCAGGATTTATTTGGGTTCCTACCACTGCATATGGGAGACCCAGATGGAGTTTCAGGCTCCTGGCTTAATGGCCATTTGGGGGGTGAGCCAACATATAGAAAAATCCATCACTCTTGCTTTCAAATAAATAAATAAATATACTTTTTAAAGGCCTTAAAAAAAAAGATGAAACAGAAAGCTTAAATCCATGAATAAGTTAAACTTTAGCATGAGCTAGTTTCTTGGAGGATCTCCAAAATAATGTGATTAAAAATGGCCTGTTTAATCACATATCTTTTTAAATCTACATTGTCACTCTGAATGTCATTAAGGGGAGCTTCACCACTGAAAAGATGCATGTTTACTATAAATCAATAAATATATATGCACTATATAAACAATTTTATAAGTAAAATGAAAATAAGTGACGAGTTAGCAGAGAACTGTGAAAAAAAGATAAAGGGATTAAATTTCAGATACTTATTAAATACCCTGAAAGAACTCAAATCTTTATTTTACTTCTAACCCTTTAGAAAAGTTGAGTATCTTCACACTTTCATTTTAAAGCTATCATAAATTTATTTTTCCTTTTAAAAATAGTCATATTTTTATCATTATAATGTTAGATATAATTTAAGGAATAAAATGATCTTCAGTACTCTACACATAAAGCAAATGATTAGTTCACAGAAAAAAGGCTTTGCCATGCAACATACAAAATGTGTTGAAAGTTATAGAGGAGGAATGGCTACCCTTAGTGTTTAAAATGCATTAAGGTATTTCCTTTGGCACTTTACTCTCGCTGTAAATATACTGAATATAG